TCTAAATATTAATAAAAATATAATTCTAAACAATCAATTTCTAAATATTAATTGTACATATCTCAAATAAATATTATTTAATATTAATACAAATATTTTAAATATTATAAATATAAAAAAAACCTAGAATACATACAGTATATAACACTGAAGATTGTTTCTTTCAAAAATGAAATATTTTTGGCATTAAAAACACAAATGAATCATTAGTAGTACAGTAAGAATATAGAGCTATAAAATGAATGTGGATCAGCTCTGATTATTATCCATAATGAGATCTATGACTTACAAATGTTGGTATCTTGACAAATCTGAGTACAGTTTGATCCATTATTAATTATTACAGAAGTCACTTATTCAGGAGAAACATCTGAGAAGCAAAAATCTTCATTTACTCTCCATTTGATCCCATTATGGTATAGGAATTTTTTTTATATATTAAAGAGTTTTCATTGTTTTTCTATGGAAAAAAAATGGATAATGTTCTTATTTTTTACTGTTGTCCTTAACCGGTTGCACTTTATTCAGTCTTTTCATTATGTGCACTATTTTGACCAACTGCTGCTTCATGGCCATGTCTGAACCTGCGCAGTGGGCCAAATACGTCGAGTGAGTATCGCTCTCGTCTTCTTCTGCAGCGTTCCTGTCCTTTCTCTTTTTCCTGTCTCCTAGCTCTCTCTCAGTGTACTGACCTCTGACCTCTGACCTCTGAAATGTACCCTATTTGTTCCGACGTAAAGCTTTACCAGGTGTTTGTTGGCTTGTCAACCTCAATTAGCAAGTAAGTTAATGATCTGACTGCACCGGAACCATGACTGTGCTGATTTTGCACCTTTGCCATGCGGAATGAATTCATGGTATGGATGTACATGGTATGTACATTAACTGGCACCAGAAAGATTCATTAAAGGGAATGTTGTCAAAGGAATATAAGACAATTATAAAAGAAATTAACCCTCACATGAATTTGGACAATACAGTGTTATTTTTTGCAAAAGAACATGGTAAATATAATGACTAATACATTTATTCATAATTATATTCATTATTTATTATATATATATATAATATATTTATATTTTGTTTACTTGTTCTTTTATAATGTTAGTCAATGTCTCTTCCACCAAAAACAACCAAAAATTTTTGAATGAATACTTTTATTCATCAAGGATGCATTTAATTAATAAAAAGTGACTGTAAAGACATTTATAATGTTACAAAACATTTCTATTTCACATAAGTGCTGAGGTTTTGAAAGAAGATGAAAAGATTCTGAAGAAAATTTTCTCTATATCTGTATGTATATCTGTATCTGTATCGGTATCTGTGTGTCTGTCTGTGTATCTCTCTCTCTCTCTCTCTCTCTGTATGGTTTGATGGGTTGCCTGTAATAAGCGTATCATTCTCTCTCTGTGTCGTTTTGCCGGGTCTTCTTCAGCTCATATATCTCTGTGTCTCTCTGCTTGTGTGTTTGCCGCGCTCATGTGCAGCTCTCGGTTTACTCATCGTCCAGTCGTCTGTCAGTTGATCTGCTTGTCTGTCTCTGGGTTTGTCTGTCCTTCATCTCCAGCTTCAGTAAGGGCCGCAGCACGCCAGCAGAAGTCAGCCCATGCGTACGTACATCCCACCGGATAGAGCGGATTTATCCCATGTTTTCCCACTCAGCTCACACAGTTTGCCGTATTGAGATGAATGTGACCTACAGTGTAAGTGACTGTAGGAGACGAGGCTTGTGCTCGTAGAGAAGCACGCAGACCTTTAATGAAGACGCTGCACCGGCCTCTGGACGTTCTGCACCGTGAAACCAGCGTCTGATATCTTCATGTCAAGAGGTGTTGTAGCACGTAGCATGCAATGACAACACCTGTTTCTGAAACGAGTGCAACGTCGTACCTCTCAGCACCTTATGAAGGCAAACCCTGAGATAAGACATCAAATGTATAGCATTACGTCACATACAGCGACCCCAGAAAGTATTTGAACAATTTTGAGCACTTTGGTCACACTTATAAATTTGTGAAAGTCTTTGCTATATAAAAGTATTATTTATATATTATTATAGTATATATTAATATTTTGAATTAGCTTTTATTTTTTGATTTTTAGTTTTCATTTTAATTTTAGTTTTTAAAATTGTATTATGTGTTTTTGTAATTTTTTATTACTTTCTGTAACTTTTTAATGTCTCTTTTTAACTTTAATTTATTTTTAAATCAGATTTAGTTTAGTCAGTTTACGTTTTTTATATTTTCATTCATTCATATATTTCAAAATAATTTAATTTAATTATAAATATTACACATTTTTTTAGTAGTTTAATATTTTTTTTTTATATATATATATATAGAGAGAGAGAGAGAGAGCATTTTTAAATAAATAAATAATATTTAATTATAAATAATGAAATATATTATTTCATTTTTATTTCAGTTAATATCAAATTAACAAAAATTATTAGTTTTAAACAATAACAACACAGACATATGTGCGCAAATGTAAATGCTATTTAAATATCACTTGTTTTTATATTTTCTTGTATAATGCAATGACATGCATATATTTTTAAGTGTGGCTAAAAAGTATGTAAACACATGTTAGGGCCACTGTATATATGTAGCAATATTTTGCATCTCATGAACAGGCCCAGATTTGAATTCTGTGTGGGCCTGTTTGTGAAAGTGATGCAATCTAAAACAAAAGGCACATTAACAAATGCACGTTGATTGCACGAGACTCAGATGTGACGAGAGATACGATACAGACCAAAACCAGATCTACTCACAAATACACTGAGCTGAGTCAAACTAGGAAGAGAAAGACGAACAGAAAAACAAACCAGCTTTGCACTCCAGAATGCTGCATCTCTCACCCGGTCACCATCTGCTCTGCTCGAGGGTCTCTCGCGCTGGATTTTAATGTTGATGATGACCAGCAGTTCATTAAGGAGCGACTTGATGTCAAACACGCCTGTCATTCATGTCACAGGGGCTGCTGGACTGTGAATGTGCTTCATGTTTGTGTCCCGTCTCCGTTCATGATCTCTGTTTGTCATCCAGGGGGATTTCTTTGATTCCTTGCGGTCTGAATCTCTGTGCATCCCTCCGTTTTCTCTTCCGCTCAGGTACACGTTCACTGGCATTTACACGTTTGAGTCGTTGATAAAGATCCTGGCGCGGGGCTTCTGCATCAACCCCTTCACCTTCCTGAGGGACCCCTGGAACTGCCTGGACTTCAGCGTGATTGTTATGGCGTAAGTTATCATTTCATGGTTTATGACCCCTTTGACCTCTTCATGTTTTAAAAACAAAAAGAGAAATCACTAGCAATTACTGAGTGGAAATGGTTTAAATCCTAGAGTAAATCCTACAAAAAATTTACTGTGGATTTTAGACACTAAAAATTTTAATCATTTGTGAAATTTACTAGCGATTTATGAGTGAAATAAGTAAATCCTACAGTGTTTTTTTCTGTTTGTGAATTTACTCTGGATCGGACCCTAAAATGAGAAATTATTTAAAAACCAAAAGAGAACTTGTTATGAGTGGAATTTTTTTTTGTAATCCTACAGTAAAATTCAGGGTATAAATGTACTGTGCATTAGAACCTAAAAACAAAAGAGAGTTTATGTAAAAAAGAGAGAAAAAAAATAAAATTACTTAATTCATTATATTATCTAAAAATAAATATTACTACATCATTATACTGTAAAAATAAATGAATTAATAAAAAAATTTAAATTTTAAATAAAACAAAGGTTATTGGAGTGTGGTTCAAATAATATTAAATAAAATAATATTTAATAAAATAAAAATAAAATGTATATGTAAAAAAATGTCACTTGCTATTAATTGGTAATTATTTGTGAAATTTACTAGTGATTTCTGAGTGAAAATTGTTTAAAAGTAAATCCCACATCATGAAATTTTTTTCATTGTGTGAATTTACTCTGGATGAGACCCTAAAAATAAAAAAAGATAAATTATTTAAAAACAAAAATGTATAATACTATTTCAGTCTTTCTATTTCTAAATTTCACTTTCACTGTTTCTTTGTCATTATTTGTGAAATTTATTAGAAATTCTAAACACCAAAAAGAGGAATTCCTAAAAACTAAAAGAGAAATTATTTAATTTTATTCACTATGTTATCAAAAAATAGTGCTTACCCCATTATTAGCTATTTAAAAAAAAAATCATTCAATTATGATATTTTCCAATTACAACATATAGTATTGCTTTTACCGTGATAGATGACTTTGGTGGTGCCGCCCAGTCGTAATCACAGCTCCTCGTGATTGGCTTGCTTTAGGACTCAGAGCTACAGAGATAATGAAACAATAAGCTGTAATAACCTAATCTCAGCTGCTTGACCCGCTGATGCTAGAACTGGAAAAGGCAGTGGGTCTATATTTGTGATTAATTGTTATGAGCGCTTGCCCCGTCCTTGACCCCGATCCCGAAACACGCGTCGCCATGGCAACAGAGGAGAGCGTGGATGCGGATGCGTTCTCTGGAGTCACAGCATCATATATGAATGTGTCATTGAGTGCCGTTCACATCCAATAATATCATTTTCACCTCAGTTATTGGCTTGTTCACTTAAAAAGAAAATGTAAAACCTGAAATAACCTGGGGAATAAACTTTTAAAGATTCCTGTGTGTAGACAGAAATGGTAAAAGATTTTTTGAAATGGTGCCTTTACTTGTTTTTAGTCTTATAGAAGGCTTTAGTACTTGTGTGTGTATATATATATATATATATATATATATATATAAGAATTAAATATAAAAAAGAAAATAATTTAATTTATAATTAATAACTTATAATTTAATTATAATCATAATTAATCTTCATTCAAATTTATTACTGAAAAAGCACAACAATAAACCTACAAGAATATGAACTTTTACATATTTTATGAA